TTTAATCAACACCTTCATGTCTCTCCACATGCTTGGGTGTGGGACTAGTCCAGTTTCTTCTTCAAAGTCTCCTGAACTTTGTGGCCTACGATTGCCTTGGGCCTCCAAAATTTTGAGATTCCTCGAGCGGGCAGGAAAAGCCTCAGGAGTTTGGGATATAATTTTAGTTTGAAAGTTGTGTCTGGTCACCAAAAAAAACGGACATTTTCCGATGGTGCACTAAAAGTCGGACATCAATTTGAGGAGTAATTTGGTGTCTTAAGTGTAATATTAATGAAATTCTTTTCGGCACGATAAAGATTCATTAAACAAAGAGATCACAGACAAGTAACCTAACTATATTTTTGTCGACTACTTAAATCCTTTCGTATTCACCATTTACTAATTAAAAATAAATAACAATCAAATTTTACCACTTCTACTATGTTTGAACTCAATTAAACTTGAATCATAAGTAAGAAGGTAGGTTTGTGAATATGGATCAAATCGAATAATTTAATTTTAGCAACAATATGAATGCGCAATACGCACAGTGAGATCATATTGGGCGAAATTTATTGCTTTACACTGTCCTATATTCAGGACTGGGTGTAGTTCATTAAGACCAACCACCTACCACATAGTTATCTGTCAAAGCTAAGTGTTCTATAATTCAACAATTAAATCTACAGAAAACGGTTTTCCTATAACCAGCCAGTCTTCTAACATTGGACACAATACGGCTGCTCGTTAACTTACAGGTTGATGGATGACTAGCTATTTCAATTAGCCACAGGAATTCTCAAATTCGAGAATAGATTGATTGGTTTTATTCAGCTCATATTTTCCACACCTGGTTGCACTAAATTAAAATGATTTTTGGTTTGAGGTAAAGTATTTACTTTATTAAATAAATAAAAAATTTGAACAAAAATTACTTTGAATATTCATACTCTATTGTTATGAGTTGTAAATCTATTGAAAAACTTGGCCTTTCTCGTGTTCCCTATTTTGTTTAGTTCAATCAAATTCAAGACTTTTACCTACATGGAAGTAAGGTAACCGAATTTAATCCAAACGGAATCATATCAAAATGAGATCACCTAGTTTTTTTACTGATGATTATATTCACCGACTTGAATGCGTGCGCGATAGACGCAGTGCACCCAGGGCAACGTATACTCATACGTCAAAATAAAGTCTATAAATCGGCAATTGACTTCTTAATTCAAACTACCATGACCCGACTGCATGTCAAATTCCAATACTTCACAGTACTCGCCTTACCTCTTTCTCTACAGTTACATCTCTCTCCTTTCAACATTTGAATCACTCTTCTGTCTTTCCTACCCATCATCGACTGTTTATTTCGAATTTAATGTTCTTCCCATCTGTGAAGCTTGAAATCAACCAAAGGGCTAATGATAACTATCATAGAGCCTGTCATTTGATATAAATCTTCATGAAATTGAAATCTATCCTCTTTGCCACCTTCTTGGTTCTATCAACTCAATCAAATCATGCTGTAATATTGGAAATTTCAATTTGAGAGGGTTTTCACCTGAGTTTCAGGGTGAATCAATTTCTGGATAAATACGATCAGTAAATGATTCTTAGCAGACCATAGTACTGTTTCTAATTTGTCAATCTCAGTAAAATTACTTATGTCAAATGCCTTGCTTTCATTAAATTAAAATCTTTAAATATTGCAAATAGTTTGACCTTTGTTGAAATTTAATTATTTTATTTCAAAAGGCAGGCTTTATGATATTTATCATTAGCCCTTAAACTTTGACTTCAGCTTCCCCCAAGGGTGGGGGGCACATTTATAGCAGTTAATTAATAGTTGTTCATTAGCCGTCTTCTTGCTTCCCAGTATCTTTGGTTTTCCGTCGTTGTCTTTAGAGGTGGACACCGAATCAGGTGGGTCTTCTCCATTTCCTCCTGTGGGACACCGAATCAGGTGGGTCTTCTCCATTTCCTCTTGAAGGTTACATAGGGGGCATGTGGGTTGAGTGTATACTCCCAAGGCTACATAGGGGGCATGTGGGTTGAGTGTATACTCCCAATCTGTGAAGGTCCATGTGGGTTGAGTGTATACTCCCAATCTGTGAAGGTGTACATGTGAGTTGAGTGTATACTCCCAATCTGTGAAGGTGTTTATAGGCAATCGTGTTCGGTACGTAGTCTAAACTCATCAACGGTTGTCCAGTACGTAGTCTAAACTCAGCAACGGCTCGTATACTCCCAATCTGTGAAGGTGTTTTGCCAAGCAATCGTTAGGTTACATAGAGGGCATGTGGGTTGAGTGTATACTCCCAGGCTACATAGGGGGCATGTGGGTTGAGTGTATACTCCCAATCGAAGGTCCATGTGGGTTGAGTGTATACTCCCAATCTGTGAAGGTGTACATGTGAGTTGAGTGTATACTCCCAATCTGTGAAGGTGTTTTGATAGGCAATCGTGTTCGGTACGTAGTCTAAACTCATCAACGGGGCAATCCTGTCCGATACGTAGTCTAAACTCAGCAACGGCTTCGATTCTCACCAGTCTATATTGGAGAGTCCCACTGTCCACTGTTTCTCCTTTGTTCGAGCTTTGAGTTCGTTGGTAATGTCTGGAATTCTCTTTCGAGCTTTAATTTCGTTGCACTGGTCTGGAATTCTCTCCTGATTAAGGCCTTCATTCTTGACATGAATTCTCTCCTGATTAAGGCCTTCATTGTGTGGACTGTCCGATACGTAGTCTAAACTCAGCAACGGCTTCGATTCTCGCCAGCCGGGTATGTCGGAGAGTGCCACTGTCCACTATTTCTCCTGTATGTCGGGAGAGTGCCACTGTCCACTGTTTCTCATTTGTTCGAGCTCAAGTTCGTTGCACCTTGAGGTCTTGAACTCTCTTCTGATTAGTTCGTTGCACCTTGAGGCTGAAATTCTCTTCTGATCAAGGCCTTCATTGTGTGGAAAGACATCGGCCGGTTTCGAGCTTTAATTTCGTTGCACATTGAGGTCGGGAATTCTTTTCTGATTAAGGCCTTCATTGTGTGGGAAGACCCCGGTCCATAACGCCTTTGTTGAAAGTATTCCATACAATTTGTGTATCATCGTCATTAAGGTTTAATAATCAATGATATCCCAATTTGAGCAGTAGCTACTTTTTCCACTTTATTGGCATATTTTTATTCATCAAATTTGCTATCGATTTCCAGTGAACTCGTTGTAGATCTTGCTAGTTGAGTCTACACATTTTGATTTATAGTCAGTTAGGCCTTTATCATTCATTAGTAAACCAAGGCAGGCAATGGAACTCACCCGACAGATCCTGTGGTCAACTTTCTGGATAATTAGATGATCCATATATGCTTAATGTGCGTTCATACTTGTTGTTTAATAGGCATTTGACGAAGTTGTCCAAATTGCCTAACTTCGTGGGTTCCTGAAGTATGAATATATTTTTTAATCTGACCTGAAGTTACTCAACATAAAATATATTAGTTGTGTCTCCGTTTTGACTGTTTTGAAGACTTTTGAGGAAAATTTTTATGCCATGTCTAAAGGATATTCACATGTAAATTTGCAAATTCATCGTGATCGTTTTAATGTAACTATGCGCGTCCAATTTAATTTAAAAATTGACAAAAGTCAAGATTGATTAGAAGTTGGAAATTCCTAAACCATCGCTTTCACTTCAAGAGAAAAAAAGGACCTGTCAGATGACCCCGTTAACAACAGTACGTCCTGTCAAAAATCCTTCTTCTCTTTTTAATTCTCATTTGTACACCCACCGGGGAGCTCTCACTTACGGCCACTTGATTGGCCACTCACTTCAAGGCTACTAAATACTGATGCGGATTGGTGGGCGATGTTCTCAGTGGTTCGAGGGCAAAAAGAGCGGGAGTAATAGTATCGTGAAAGGGAGAGAGTGAGCGAGATAGTGCGCGAGGGAGAGAAATTGCAAACCAGTGAACTATCAAGTGTAAATTTCTGAGGATGCTACCAGCAATTTAGGACCGAGATAGGCTGCTTATTGACCTTATCGTGCACGAACACAAATTTTACTGGCATTCAAAAGAATCCCACCCCAAAACTGTTTCGAAACAAAAGCCCAGAGGGTAATAGCTGTTGTTAGGCATTGTTTAGTTGAGGGCCAATGCATACACGGCAAGGAGGAGGTTGGAAAAGCAGAACGAGTGGTTCAGAGCAATGCCCAGACGCTTACGGCCTCTTCTTCCTATCTCATTGACATTGCTTCTCGTATTGCTACTCCACGCTGCTCAAATTAACAGGCGGTTTGAGCCTGTTTTCCTCGATTTCGATCAATTTATAAACACACCGCCTTCACTACCATCGACAGAAATCAGCACTTCTGCACCTTTTGAGCTTTCTTATCCCGAATTGAAAAAGAAGCTCATAGAACAATTAATGAGGCCCTATAGAAGGTACGAAAGACCTACTGAGGGTACATTGGAGCCGACTCGTGTGTACCTCTCCATCAAAATTCTTGCAATTACCAGTGTCGATGTTATTAACATGCAGTATACGGCTGATATGATCCTGACGCAAACGTGGGTCGATCCAAGATTGCAGTGGGATCATTTGCCTGAGTATTCTAGCATTGCGAATAGCATTCTCCTCACTTACAAGCGCAATGACATATGGCTCCCCGACCTCTTTTTCCGAAATGGGAAGGAGGGATTTCTGTATAAAATGACAGTTCCCAACCACAAGATTAGTGTCTCACCAAGTGGGAGGATTTACTTTAGTCAGAAGATCACAATGAGATTGGCTTGTGAGATGCATCTGCGAAATTTCCCAATGGATCAGCAGGACTGTGATATGGATATTGGTAGCTATGGTTACACAATAGATCAACTCAAATTCATATGGAATGAAAGTAATTCGTTCATAT